ATGCTCTTCTTGTAACACCCCGACCGAAAGACACTCGGGGGGGGGGCTGTTGGTCAATTGGTGCGTTCTTCTAAACACTATCCCCCCCCCCCCCCCCCCCCAAAGCAGCTCAATATCATAAAGAATAATGACAATTCATTTTGGTGGACGGGAAGCTATTTTGTGTTCAAGGCTTCATTATATAATAGAGAGATTAGGCAGAATTTAATTGGATGATCTAACGATTTGACTAATCGACTGGCAACTATTTGATCTTCTATTCATATTACTTCCTATTCGATGTATTACCTATATATTATGCAGTTGAATCAATATCTATCCCAAAATAATTTTTAATGCACTGATAAACAATATATTGTATGATATACGTTAACTAACATTCGCGATTAGATAAAGACTATAAGTGTGTATAATATTTTTTTCTTGAAAGTTTATCTCTGTCGCCTTCTTCGAAACAATCAAAATCTCTAATGATGATAGATCTCTAAGACGTATAATAATAAGTTTAGACTGACAGTTCAAAAACAAAAGAACCTTTTGTTTTGTTTAACTTACTCCTGTTGCTATTTTTTGTATCGTTGATACTCCAATTAAATTACGTCTTGGTCTTGATATATAATTGATGTAGAACTCATGTATCACTGGATGACCACCGGCATCCGTTATATTTGCTGTTACATTAACAAAGTAATTAGTTTCATTTTGTCCATTTGGAGGATTTAAATCTGCAATACTAACATTATAAATTTGTCCCTTAAAAATACAAATATCAATTTATAATGATCAAATATATGAAAAATTTTCTAACCATTAATTCCAAACCATCATCTGTTATAATTGAATATGAATTTTTAGCTGGTGATAATGCTTGATAATTAGGTTTATCAAATGTAATAGTAAAATTTTCATTTACATCTGGATCAATAATACATAGTTGACCGACAACTAATGATGTTGCATTTTGTGAAATATAAACAGTCATTAAATTTGATGTGACATTAATCGGTGGTTGATTAACATCCGTTATATTTATAATAAATAAATTTTCTATCTAAAAATAAATATCATATAATTAATTTCTTTTTAAAAAAAAAAAAAGAATAAATTAATATACAAATGTTGGTGGTTGTCCACTATCAGTTGCTCGAATAATAATTGGAATAAATTGTCGTTTATCATAATTTAATTTTTGTTTTAATATTAAACGATTATCAACTATAGTAAATATTGGATTTGTTGTTGTATATGTTAATGTTTGATTAAAATCAACATCGATTGCATTTAAAATACTAATTGTTGAATTAATTGTTGTATTCTCAGGAACAACTACATCTATGAATGCAAGTAAAAAACAAAACAAAAAAACAGTATTTTACTAGATAAATTTTCATAACAAAACATACTTGATAATGTTAAGTTATAAGGTGTTTCATTTTCGTCTTCAATTTCAATAGGAACAGTTACAAAACGAAGAGTTTCATTAGTTATTTGATTATTAACTGCAACTGTTATATTAATTATGGATTCGATTTCATGATTTAATGGACATGTTTGATTTAAATGACAATGTTCAACATATTTCTTAGCTGTCTAAAAAAGAAATGAATGAATTAAAAAAATAATAAAATGAAAAAAAAAACAAAGATTCCAATGATAAATTTTACTAATAGATTTGTTTCATTTAATTTAAATCGTTCATTAGCATTGTCAATAAGAATAATAGTATAATTATCGACACCATCTTCGACAATAAAATTTCCAATTGATGTATTTTCATGAGAATTTTCCATAATCTAAATAATAAAGATTTGAAAAAATAATTTTTATTTTCATTTTTAACCTTATTATTTGATAAGATAAAATTAAAATCATTTTTCTCTTTAACATAAACAGTTAAATATTTTTCTACGATTCGACTATCTTCACCAGTTGTTGTTACTAATACACTAACATTAAACGTTAATGATGAATTTGATGAAGAGAAATTTACATCATCACGAACCTATAATAATATCAAGAAATTTGATTCTATTAAAATGAAACAAATAAACGACCGAGACGTGTTAAGAACCATTTTTCAATCCTCTTCAGTCTATCAGTTCTTGATGCAAAATTTCAAGAACAATCGTTTGGTAACAAAATAAAACTATTTCTTAAACATCTACACTCATTTTTTGCATCATAAATTGATGACTCATAGATAGGAGAGTGAGACGTGTAACCTTTCTCCCATAACAAGACACTTCGTACTAAAAACTATGTCAATCGATGATCTATTCTTGCATCTATCTTTGGTGAAAATTTCAGCTCGAATAGTTGAAGTGTTGCTGAATATTGATGTAAATAATATTTGGAACGAACATAACAATCATTTGTTTATATTATCACTTTTACTCATCGTTTTCTAAATATTTCGAGACGAGAAAAAGGAACCGGAGTTTTTGATCAATTCTGACAACTCGAAGGAAAGGCTACAAAACTATATAGTTTTCAATTTTATTAGTTGAGAAAATTTGAATTTTGTTTCGACACAATTTTTGTTTAAATATTGTTGAGGTGAAAAACAAAGTGCAGTTTGAGTTAATATCAATAGAATATTTGGCATCGCTATAAAAACTTGAGTTCAATAGGATATGTTTTGAAGTTTTGCGTCACATTTTTCTGTTCTCGAAAAATTTACTTGATGTACCTATTCAAGATTCAGTCAATTAGAAAATCATATCAACAGTGAAAAACACATTCTAACCTTTCAAGACATTACTAGAACATAAAACGAGAGACAATGAAACAATCAAAACAGTGACTTGATTAAACTCATTTATTGACTGAGTCCTAAAGATTATCTACGATAAATTTTTCAAGAATAAAAAAGTTCTATGCAAATTTTCGAAATACATACAAGAGCTTACTCACTTTTTTATGACGGTTCTAAATATTTTATTGATTTTGACTCAAGTCGTATCTTCTCTGATCGAAATCTATTGAATATTAGTCAAAAATGCAAAACAAAATGACGTCGCAACGAAATTCGAATTGTCTTAACTAACCGAATTCAACTGTAAAAAAGTTGAAAATTATACAGTTTGGTTTCTTTCTCGAAATATTTCAAAAATAGAGTCTAAATGATAATATAAGTAAATGATTGTTATGCTCGTTCGGAACAATATTTACATCAATACTCAGAAACACTTCAAGCATTCGAGCAGAAATTTTCCCCAAAGACAGATTGAAGAATGGGTAATCAATTGATGTAGTTTTTGGTGCAAAGTGTCTTGTTATAGGGGAAAGGTTACACGTCTCACTCTCTTATCTATAAATTATCGATTTATGATGCAAAAGTCTACATCAATAGTTTAAGAAAAAAAAAAAAGAATGGGTCTTGTTGCTTAAGAAAAAGCTTTCTTTTGTTACCAAATGATTCTCCTTGAAATTCTTCATCAAACAAGTCATAAATGAAGAGAAACTAAAATGTACTACTTTCGTTTATCAAAACAAAAACCCTAACTTTAAGAATAGTTGAATTGACAATTTCAAGTGGATAAGTTAAAGAACTATTTTCGTTAAGTATAATATTTGCTACAGGACGTCCAGCAGCTGCTACATCAATTGCATGAATTGAACCAATTATAAGAGAAGTTGAATTATCTTTTGGAATATAAATAGATTCTTTTTGTTGACCATTGATTGTTAAAGTCTAAAATATAAATTAAACAAATATATAATCTTTCAATGAATTGATTATTTTTGACATACAATATTTTCAAATTTAATTCGTAATGGTTTTGAAAATGTCATCGTTTTATTATTACTTGTTAATGTTAATAAAGTAACAACTAAATGACCATCATGATCATTATTATCATAAACTACACGTGGATTAACAACAGTAACATTGGATGTGCATAATAATCGATATGGCGATTCTGTTAAACTTGCACATATTGGTTTTGAAAAGTTTAATTCATTTAACTGTGTACCATCATATCCATGTAAATATAAATCTCGATAACGATCTTCTATTAAAAATATAATTCGTCCAATTGATAATTGAAAATATGCACTTTGTGGTAAATAAGTAATTCGTACTGGATTTATTCCGTTTATTAAATTATTAATTGTATCATTTGATATTATATCATTGATGTTTGAAATAAATGTGTAAGTATCTGGAATTTCATCAGTGTCAAGTATTTCAATAAGAAAATCACTTGTAATCTATAGAAAATCAATTTATTGTTTTTTCAATACATTAATACAATCATTGTGAATTTTAATATTACGTAGTTAAAAATTATTTTTAAAGAAATGATTTTCAATATGCCTATAAATTGTTTTCTAAGAAATTCTGAGAGACTACTTACGTTTTTTGGTGGAATCCCATTATCTGTTGCTTGTACAGTAATAAGAAAAAATTGTTCTTGTTCATAATCAGGTGATCGTACTAATCGTAAATCATTATCTTCAATAGTAAAAAAAAATCCTCTTGATGTAAATGAATTTTCATTAAGAAGTGTATATGTATGTGTTTGATATAAATCTTGATCTTCAACTGAAAATGATCCGATTAATGTTCCAATAGGTGAATTTTCTATTACAATATTTTTATCTAATTGTAAATTAAGTGGTGGATCGTTTGCATCAGTTATTTTAACTTGAATCCAAAATTTCTGTGATGCTCGTGGTACACCATTATCTTCAACAAGTATACGAACAAGTAATGAAGTTGTTTGTTCATAATCATGTGGACATAAATCTGGTTGAGTTATACACATTTCAACAGAATTTTCACGTTTTAACTAAGGAAAAAAAAAATAAAACTAATGAGAAAATCATCAGAATAACTTACAATTAATTTATCATTTTTTAATTCAAATGTATGACTTAAATCAGTAACAATCGTGTATTGAAATGTTTGATTCACTGAATATATATCCGGATCAATTGTTTGTAATTGACCAATAACATATCCTGTTGGTGAATTTTCTGGAAGCTAAAAGAATTAAGTTTTCTTTCTTTTTATAAAGAGAAACAAAATGGAATTTCTACATACTATATTAGGTATTAATGTTAATGCAACTGGTGCTTCATTAACATCGCTAACAGCAATAGTAAAATTTTTACTAATAGTAAAATGATGAATGAAATCAGAACATGATACTGTTATATCATAGTCTTGTATTGTTTCAAAATCAAGATCATAATCTTACAAACAAAAACAAAAACAAAGAATTTTTTCTTTACGAAAAGATATTTTCTTATACTTACTACTATTATTCATAGTTAATTTTGTTCGTAATATTTCATTAACGATTTCAAATGGTTGATGGTATGAAGGAGCATTTAGTGTATAGATAGAACATGTATAATTATCATTATCTTCATCAACAACATAAACATGTGCTATTTCAAAATTTCTTGAATTTTCTGGTACATTTAAATGAAACATATTAAAATAAATATCCTATTAGTAAAAACAAAAAGACAGAAGAATTTTTATTCATTATTATTTTCATTGGTTTTCTTTACTTGAGGTGGTGAATTCGCTTGTCGACGTTGTCGTTGTTGTTCTGTTTTATCTCCGTCATTAGAATATAATATGACAATATTCTAAACAATATTTATTAATAAAATTAACTGAAGTAGCTCGTTAGTTTTATCATTCTGTCATGATCTAAGCAAGAAGATCTTAATCATATTCACATTCCATACGATGAAAAGAAATAAGTAAAGGTTACAGATGAAACAAAAAAGACCAAGAATTTTCCAAGCTCATTTACAATAAATGTCTAATAAATATACTTACATCTCTTATCTGTTTGTCTATTGTATTACTACCATCGTTGACTGGTATAATCAACAAAAAAATAGGAACAAACATTAGTGCCATATCATCAGGTAAAGCTTTCATATATGTTGATACCTTAGAAGAAAAGAAAATTAGATTAATTTAAAGAATACTAATTTACCGATAAAGATGGTTGACCATTATCAGTACAAGTTATTTCAAATAGTGTTTCATTATCAAGACTATTAATAGTTTTCATTTCAAATTTTAACGTTTGATTGAAATCATCATCGAATACCGTACAAATACCTGTTTGATCTAAAGAAACAGAAAACAAAGCAAATCTTTCCTATTTTCTTTTTAATTAGCTTTTAAATTCCTACTAGAACATTGAAGATTATAAGGTGGCTCATTAATATCTTCAATATTAATAAACAAAACTTTTTCAATTAATTCTGATTGATTTGAAAATTGAATACAAATTTTATATTGATTTTGTTCTTCATAATTCAAACGAGATTGATCAGTAGTCTTTAAACAAAAAAAAAAACAAAAAAATCTTTTTTTCTTTTCTAATCATAAGCACAAAAAAAAACCAAGAAAAATTTTCCAATGAAAAGAAAGGAACATGTAGTGACGAGAGATATGTATTTTGCCTTGTTCTTTTCTTGTCTATCAATCCTGCCAACTACTATTGCTTATTTTGATGATAGATTGACTCTTGCTATGAGTAGTGTTATCTCTTGTTGAGTTACACATTATTGTGTCATCGTACTTTTCTCTTTAGTCTTCAATGAAATGTAAGCATACATATCATAAATCAACTTTCTCATTCAATGATGATAATATTTCTTTTCATTTCTAACAACTAACAAATCATAATTTATTTCGAGTATGTTAATTAACAAAACTTTATTTAAGGTTTAGTAAAAACAAAAGAAAAAAGAAATAGGTCATTAATATATTCTTTAATCATAAAATGCTTGTAAAATTTAATTACATCTAAACCTTATTTTGTTTTTCTTTTTCTTTTTTTCTTTCGAATATATGTTTCTATTTCAAAGTCAATTCTACGTCTTTCGAAGATTAGATGATGAGAAATGATGATAAGAACAGCCAATTCAATCATCTTTTGCCTTTTTCGAAAGATTACTCCCAACAACAACAAAAAAAAAAATGAACTTGTGGCATGCCTAGTTCTATGTGCTTTTGAAAACAACAGAAAAGAAGTGCATTAGAGAATAATAATAGTGGGTATCTAGTATGTTTAAAGATCAGCTGCATTTTCATCCTTCGTCTTTATAATTTAATTGTGTAGATGTGAGTGTTGAAGACGCGTTTCAAAAATTAGTCTAGTCACTTTATGTATTTATCTTTACATCAACTTACTGCTTGACTTTGTTTTTTTGTTTTATATCTAGAGATTTCACAACAAATAGTTATACAATCTTGGTATATTTTTGCTTTGTCTATTATTATTTATCTTGGGTGTGAATGATTTTATTATTCCTTATTGAAGTCATATGATCAATTTAAATGATATTGGTTTATCTTTATAATATGCATGTTATGATGATAACTCTTATTCTTACTAAATAAAAGTATATTGCCTTATAAGTAGTTTTTACGGTTAGTGTTTTTAGTTATACATCAATATAACGCGGAATTTTTTAAAATAAAAAAATGGTATCCGAATCATTTGATCTTTCTACAATTGATCCAGTAACAGTTACAAATAGCCCAAAAGATACTTATCATGTGAAAAAAACCGTTTTTTGGACAATATTATTTGCAATTTTTGCAATATTTATTACTCTATTGATATTAACAGTTTATTTTGGTGTTCATCAAAAACGAGCAGTTACTGAGTCAACATCTACCAAAATAACAACAAATCTTCCTATTGAAATATCAACAAGTCATCTTATTGAAACAACAACATCAGCACCACCCGTTGGACGAGTACCAACAAATTTACGACAAGAAGAATATCGATTAACAATATCCCCAAATTTAACATCAGAAAAATTTACTGGTTCGTTAAATATTTCATTTATAAAAACAAAAAACAACAAAAATTTCTTTTGTTTTGTTTTTTTCTTCTCAGGTACTCTTTTTTATATATTTACTTGTCTTGAAACAACAAATGAAGTTGTACTTCATCAAAAAGATTTATCATTAAATAATTCATCAATAAAAATAATTAATTCATCATTAACAACATCTCATTTACCAATATTAGATTCGTCGTCCTATGATGGTTATAGTGAATTAGTTCGATTAAAATTTTCATCATCATTCATTCCAACTCAAAATTATACATTATATTTAAATTTTTCAGCAAATATTTCACATGAATTACATGGTCTTTATATAAGTCGATACATTGATATAAATGGAATGAATAAAACATTTATGACATCACAAATGGAACCAACACATGCACGAACTGTTTTCCCATGTATTGATGAACCAGCTAGAAAAGCTATTTTTTATATAAGTGTTATACATGATTCTTCGGAACGTGTTTGGTCTAATGGAGAAATTCAAGCAACAGAAATCTTAGGTGATGGAAGAATTATATCACATTTTACACCAACATTAAAAATGTCAACATTTTTATTAGCATTAATTGTTGGACTAAAATCTGATTTCGATTGTCGACCTGATAGAATTGTTGAATCAACAAATATTTCATCAAGAATATGTGGACGTATTGATATTTTACCACAATTAGCTTATGCTGATGAAATAGCATCGAAAGCATTAGCTTTTTTTAATAAATATTTTGATATTATGTATCCATTACCAAAATTAGAACATTTTGCTGTACCAGATTTTGGTGCTGGAGCTATGGAAAATTATGGTATAGAAATTTTTTTTTTTTTTTCTAAGTTCAAAATTGTCTTATATTGATTTGATTTTAATTATAGGATTAGCCATTTATCGAGAAGTTGGTTTATTTTTTGATGAAAAAACTGTATCAGCATCACGTAAACAATATATAACAACAGTGGTTACACATGAAATTGCACATCAATGGTTTGGAAATCTTGTTTCACCAGCCTGGTGGGGAGAATTGTAAGTGTTTTTTTCTTTATTGTCTTTTCAAGAAAAAAAGCACCATGTAAATTGATTTGATTTATTATAGATGGTTAAAAGAAGGATTTGCGAGTTATATGGAAACATTAGCATCCGATTATCTTGAACCAGCATGGGCGGAAGATGAGAGAATTGTTGTTGAAAAAATTTTTCCATTTATGGATGCAGATTCTTTGCCAACATCACGTCCAATAAGTATTGAATCAACAAATCCAGCTGATATATTTCAATTATTTGATTCAATAACATATGATAAAGGTGCAACATTAATACGAATGATGTCAATGTTTTTAGGTGCAGATGTATTTCAAAAAGGTATACAAAATTATCTTAATGCATTAAGTTATAGTTCAGCAACACAAGAAGATTTATGGAGACATTTAAGTGATGCTGCAGGAAATAAAATTAATGTAGAAAAAATTATGGATGGATGGACAAAACAAGCTGGTTATCCTATTGTTGAAATTAATCGAGAATATGCAACATCAATTGAACGACAACGACAATTTAATGTTGAAAGTTATATGGTGATTAATCAAAAACCTTTTAGTCTTTTTTCAACAACAACTAAACAAAAAAAATGGTGGATTCCATTTAAATATTTTGATCGAACATCAAAAAAAGTAAGATATATTCATAATAGACATGAATGAAGTCATGATAATTATTCACGTGATAGTACGAGTATAAGGTCGAATTGTATAGCGAGTCAGTAACACTGACATTTTGAGTACATTATTGTGTCTTTAGATAATATTATTGATTAGAACCAATGCGAATCATGTATCTTTTCTCATTATAACAAAGTTTATCTATATAATAGTGATAAAAGGGTAATTGATATTGATTAACATTGATATGATCGAATCAAAGGTTTAACAAAATGAATTTAATCAATATTTGATATTTAATTCAATTTTTTTTTATTTTTGTAAAACACGATCTAAAAGGAATGTTGAAGAAGTATACGGACAGTAATTTGGATCCCCTACAGACTATGACCGACTTTGTTGGTATACGATCACCAATCATATATTAATAATGCTTCGTTATAATGATCTACGATGTATAAGTATTCGCACAAATGTTGAAGTCTGTTATGTTCGAATGGAAATTGCTGAAAACCTAATTTTTTCACTCACAAATAGAGCGAAGTATATATTTTCAGATGCATATTCAATAAAATATTTACAAAGTAATTTAAAACATTAAATTTTTAAAGGTTTTGAAACCTATTAAAAAATGGCTTGTTACGGAAGTGGAATAAAGATTTTTTTCATGCCATAGCTATGTATATGTTTTAATTCTTGCAAATGAAACCATAAATTTTAAGTAGATATACAGATTTTCTTGGAAGAAAGTTTAAGTTAAATGAATGGAAGCTTTCTGCATTATTAAAGGCTCTAACTAAATCGAAATTGGTGACACGTGTGATCTTATATACAATTTTTTTCCCCACTATTTATGAGTTCAATACAACGTATTTTCCTAATGTTTTAAATATATTCTTCAAGGGCTCAAAAAACTGCATATTTTGGACATCTTTACAAGTTGATGTTCTTAAAAGTATTTAAAACTTTCGTTCAAGATCGTAGAATTTACTAGTTTTACTTTTAAGGTTCATTTCCGGCTACTCTAAATAAGCAGAAAAATAGGAAATCAATTTTCAGAAAATCTGAATTCTATAGCTTTCGTTTTTCAAGTTTCATGATCTTCGTTTTTAGTCAACGTAATGCAAGTTAAAAATTTGAATAGACATTTCACAGTACATACTTTGGTATGTTTCGAACTGAAAAAATTAGATTTTTATCATTTTCAGTTCGAATATAACAGATCTCGATATTTGTACGAATACATATTCATCGTAAGTTATATAAACTAAGGTAGCAAAAAAAAGCTTAACAAAAGAGTACTTTTGCTTTTTTTTTTTGTTCGATTATGTTAAGCATCTAGGTGAAATCCAAAATACTGACGTTAATAGTCAATAGAATTTTTATAGATGAATTATAATGGGAAGGTTTCTGAAAATCCCAGATACAGTAGTTTTCAAGTTTCAGAAGATTACTTTTAAAGAATGCCATTGTAAAGAAAACTAAATAAGGGATTGTCGAATTTTCTATGACCTTATCTTAGAAAGTTAAATATCACAAAAACCGTAAAAAAAATAAAACTTATCATAAAAATCCACTAAGAAGTGCATTTTTTCATTTTTGGTGATACTTTAAACTGTTTAACGAAAGTCGTAAAAAATACGGCGATTTCTCATTTTATTCTCTTTAAAATGGAATTTTTAAAAATTGTCTTTTGGTACTTGCAAATTACTATGTCCGATTTATTTATGAACCTTACCATCATAGTATATCTATGAAACCTTAGTGTAGAATACATTAGATGGAAAATTACGTTGGCTATTAAAAAATCGTTATTTGGATTTGAGCCAAGTGCTTAAACTTATAGTAACAAAAAAAGGTCAAAACTACGTTCTTGTTAAGTTTTTTTCTACTATCTTACTCATTAGATTTGTAGAAGATTAAGTAAAAGTACGGTGAAGAAATGTATCCTAAAATAAATAGAATAAAACAATCTCCTTATGATTAGCAACGGCAGGTACATCATGTTTGACATTTTAATCTCGCAAGGATTACGCTAACTGCTTGTGCTAATTGATTTAATCTTTTTGTTTTTGCTAAACATCATATTATTATTTAATCTATACGATAACTTTTGAAAAATTATTTTAATAAATAACCTTAAATTTCTAATATTAAAATTTAACTTATTTTATTACTTTTTTTTCTTCATAGAATTTAAATGCGAGTTCTGTCATTTGGCTTAATGATACATCAATACGTTTATCAATATCTACATCAGATTCCGATTGGATTTTAGCCAATCCAGATTATCTCGGTATTTATCGTACAAAATATGATTCACGAAATTTTCGTTTAATAATAAATCAATTATTATCTGATCATACTCGTATTCCAACAATAACACGTGGTGCTTTAATTGATGATATATTTGCATTATCTCGTACATCACTTGTAAACACAAGTGATGCATATGAATTAATACGTTATTTAAAAGATGAAATTGAATTTGTTCCATGGACAGCAGCATTTTCAGCTATGCGACTTCAAGAAGATTTATTAACTGGTCAAGAAATTCTTCTTGATGTTCAACAATATTTTCTTGAACTTGTTTTACCATTATATCATAAAATAGGTTGGGAACCAATAGATCAATCAAAAGAATGGTTACGTGCATTACTTCAGCCAAGTGTTTTATCAGCTGCATGTCGTTATGGACATCGTGAATGTGTTGAAGAAGCACGTAAAGCTTATCGTCGTTGGCTTTCAAATCCAGCATTAAATCAAATACCAGCAACACTTCGTTCAACTGTTTATTGTACAATTATACGAGAAGGTTCTCAACCGGAATTTAATTTCTTATGGGATCGTCTTAAACAAGAAAATGTAGCAAGTGAAACGCTAAATTTATTAAATGGTCTTGCTTGTACACAAGATCCATCATTAATACTTTGGTTTCTTAATCAACATTTAAAAATAAATCCAATTATACGAGATCAAGATTTAGCTGCATCAATTCAACGTATTGCTCGTTCATCACATGGTAATCAAATAGCATGGAATTGGATTCGTGATAATTGGGAACAACTTTTTATAAAATGGGGAAAATCAGGTTCAAGTTTATCAGGTATTATTGAAGCTGTTTCAAGTCGATTTATTAATAGTCGACAACGTGATGAATTTATTACATTTGCTAATTCAATTACTAATAAAGGTAATTCAAATTGATATAATAATTGTTTTCTTTTTTTTTTTTTTAATTTATTGAATATTTTCTAGGTACCGCTTATCGACAATTTCAACTTTCACTTGATAAAATTTATGCAGCAATTGAATGGAATCGTGTAAATCTTAATGGAATAACAGCATTTCTTCATCCAGATAATACTGGACCAGATACAACTAGTCATCGTTTACCATCACTTGCTATTCCTATTCATTATAATCTTTATATAAAACCTTATTTAAATATATCTGATAATAATCTTCGATATTCAATATTTGAAGGAGAAGTTAATATTACAATTAAAATAATTCAAACAACTGATCGTATTGTTTTACATAAACGTTTTATTTTTGTACGTTATCCAATAACATTATCCATGCCAGGAATATCAGTTATACGAACAATATTTGATGATGAACGAGACTTTTTTACAATTATATTTAATCAAACATTATCAATTAATACTGAATTTACAATAAATATTCTATATATAGGTGAACTAAGAAATGATACATATGGTTTTTATCTTAGCTCATATGTACGATCAACAGATAAAGTACGACGTTATTTAGTTGCTTCACAAATGGAACCAATATCAGCACGACGTGCATTACCTTGTTTTGATGAACCAGCATTGAAAGCAACATATAAAATTATTGTTGAACATGAACAACAATATAGAGCATGGACTAATATGCCTATTGAATCAACACAAAATCAATCTAATGGTTGGACAAAAACACAATTTGAAAAATCTGTACCAATGAGTTCATATTTACTAGCGCTTGTTGTAGCTGATTTTGAATGTTTAACACAAAACAATACAGGTCGATACAAAAATATAACAACAAATGTTTGTGCACAATCAGAAAAGAAAAATGATTTATATTATGCACTTGAAGTAGCAACAAAAAATATGGAAGACTTTGAACAACAATTTCAAGTTAATTATCCAATATCAAAAGTTGATCATATTGCAGTACCAGATTTTGATGCAGGTAAAGAGAATAAAAATATCTTAATGTACTTATTATAAGAAGAAAAAAAACAAATCACACGATTCTATATGTTTATTTTTTCCTTTTTCTAAGAATCTTACAAAATTTTACATAATGAAAGCATTCAATAATTTTCGTCACATAGGAATTAAATCTGATCATGTTCTTTCCTAGCAGAGTTGTCAACAGGCTTTTTTTCTTCTCCGCTTGACTCAATGACCTGCAAGACAAATCTTCTCGACTGAAGTTTCTGTTCTATTTTTGTCGACTAATTTCTATAATTTTATTATAATATATCATTCTAGTTTCACTTATACACTTAATTTATTTTCATGAAGATACTATAATGATAAATTCTTGAACAAAATAGTGTGAATTAATACAAAGAGATAAATCATCAAAAATATTTCTGATACAAGGAATACTAGATTTATCAAAATGCTTTTGAATACATAAACACTATATAATGTAACATAATTGTGAAAATCTAATTATGATAGAAAAACAATATATGATCAGGCATACAACGAAGAGGTCAAAAGAGTGTGTATGACTAAATTTGAAGAGATGACACACATCCATACTTTCACAAAATCATGAGCTTTTGTCGTTATCTTATGTTGCAAATTATACTAGTGGAAATCATAGTATATAACACACAGGCCAACAACTTCCGTCCGACCTTGTAAATGTTCTGATGGGTTGTCAGACTGACAGTTCTCATCCCTACTGAATGTTAAATAATATTTTGAACGTACGATGACAAATCATTCTGTTATTAATGAGATACAACGTAAAGTTTTCATAGGTTATAATTTAATTATTTAAATAGGTGCAATGGAAAACTTTGGATGTATTTTATATCGTGAAACACGACTTTTCTATAACAATCGTACATCAACATCAATCAATAAACAAGAAGTTGCATTAGTTATTGCGCATGAAGTTTGTTTAAACAATTTTCATTGAAATCAAATTTTTTCTAATAATTATCTTTTTTTTTTTTTTTTAATATTATTTAGTTAGCACATCAATGGTTTGGTGATCTCGTATCACCATCATGGTGGGATGATTTATGGTTAAATGAAGGTTTTGCTAAATGGATGGAATTTGTTTATACAGATAAAATTTGTCCCGAATGGGATTTATATGAACAATTTATTGCTAATCGTTGGCTAGCAGTTATGCAAAATGATGCTATTTCATTTTCACATCCTGTTAATATGAAAATAATACATAATGAACAATTAACAAGTATATTTGATGCAATAACTTATTCAAAAGGTTCATCATTATTACGTATGATGAGAAATATTATGGGTAGTAATACATTCAACAGTGGTATTTCAAAATATTTATCAGGACATATATATTCAACAGCAACACAAAATGATTTATGGCAAGTTTTAGGTGAACAAATGTTTGAAGATAATATTCAATTACCATCAAATACAAGTCTTGCTGATATAATGAGTACATGGACTGATCAAATGGGTTATCCATATGTTGAAATAATACGTGATTATTGTCAAAATTTAATAAAAATAAGTCAAAAACAATTTCTATTTGATTCTGAAGCTCAACCATCAAAATCACCACATAATTACATATGGTCAATACCATTAAAAATTAAATCATCATCATCATTAGAAACAGATTTAATATGGTTTTCAAAACCTAATATGAATATAACAATAAGTATTCAATCAAATGAATGGATTTTAGCTAATCCTGATTTATTGGGATTTTTTCGTACAAATTATGATGGAGAAAATTGGAGGAAAATTATTCAACAATTAAAAACTGATCATAAAAAATTTTCTGTCGTTGAACGAGCGGGTCTTATTGATGATGCACTTAATTTAGCACGTCCAAGTAAGAAAAAAACAATTTATTTCATTTGCTTTTTTATTTTATTAATTTTTAAACGAATCTTCTTTTTAGATATTCTTCCGGCATCACTTGTTTTGGAATTACTTGAATATAGTCATTTAGAAGATTCATATATTGTCTGGGAACGTATTCTTTCAGGTCTTCAATATATTGAACAAATGATTGCATCAAGTAGTTCCGGTCTTTATTTATATGAACGTTTTCGTTCATATATGGTTGATCTTATTTTACCTATTTATAATAAACTTGGTTGGAAAGATAATTCATCAACAGATAGATGGCTTGATACACTTCATCGTGATATGATTATATCAACAGCATGTCGTTATGATCTTGATCATTGTATACAACGTGCACAAGAGTTATTTGAACAATGGTTTAATTCACCATCAAATAATACAATTGAAGCTAATCAACGACGCGTTGTCTACTGTACGAGTATAAGATTAGGTGATCGAGCGAGGTTTCAATTTCTTCTTCGAGAATATCAGGCATCAAGTGATCCACAAGAAAAAGCACGCATACAAACAGCATTAACATGTACAAGAGATATAGAATTAATACGATATTTACTTCATATACATATAAATTCTGAACAAAATGTAATACGTCGACAAGATGTTTTAGGTGGTATTCGATCAATATGTCGAAATTTAATTGCTGAAACAGAATGTTGGACGTTTGTACATGCAAGATGGACACAATTATTTCGAGATTATGGTGGTTCACTTAGTTTTGCTGAATTAATTAAAGATGTTACAGGAAGATTTAATACATTATTACAATTAGAAGAATTTGAACGATTTTCTGAACAAACAACTGATAAAGTTTGTTAATTATGTGACATTATTTTATTTTATTTATGTTAATTTTTAGGGTGCAGCTGAAGCTGAATTTAAAGCATCAATTGAACGTATTCGTGGAAATATTCAATGGGTTAGTAAATCAAAACCGAATTTAGAAGAATGGTTTTTAAATCGAACACTTGCAATTCGTCTTCCACTTGATTGGTTTCCATCAACGTATCAACTTCATTTTAATGTTTTTCTTCAATCAACATATCCAACTAATGAAGAACCTAATACAACATTTACAGGTCATACACGTATACGTATACGTTGTACACGTCCAACAAACGAGCTTCGTATACATATGAAACAATTACGTTTATCATATGCTATATTAACACGTCTTGGTAAAAATAATAATCTTATTAGTGACTGGACAATTGTTATATCGTCAGAAGTTCTTTTATGTCGTTTAAGAGAACGTTGTATTAAAGATGAAGAATATGAATTTGAATCGGCATATACTGCAGAATTAGATAGAGAAATGGCAGGATTTTATTTAAGTAGATATAATGTTACTAATACAACAACAGGAAAAATTATTACACACAATATTGGTGCAACACATATGCAGGTAAATTAAAGATTAATTATGAATACGTATCAAATTTATATACCATCATATACGATCACATATTATCAATAATACTTCAAATAAATATCGATCTATGATATTGTCTTTACACCCTCCTATGATTATCAAAAGACATAAGAATTCTTTTCGATATGCTAGACTAAAATCTCTTAGAAAAAAGTTATCAAATATTATTAGTGTAAATTTAGCTTTTCGAATAGATTGTTTTCATTCAGACTTAAAAAATGATGCGAATGCATGGTGGAGGACGGAGACAATCAAAATGTGCCAACGATTATATCTCTTCGTTTAACTTTGAGCGTTTCAAATACATTCTTTAAGAAAAAGGCTTAGCAATAGAGTTTAACAGATGGTACGAAACAGACGCGGCACTAACGCCTCCGCACACATATCTAATTCCTACTTCCTAATAAAAAAGGAAAATTGAATTAGTTATTTTTTAAACGGAAAAAAGGTATATCTAAACTCTTACAATACTAAATTCATGTTTTCCATTTTTTTTTTGTTTACATCATTTACAATGGAACACAGTTTTGTCATAATTCATGTTTTTAAAATTGTTAAAAATTTTTCTGAACGAAAATTCTATTTCATTTTAGCCAACCATTGCTCGTCAAGTATTTCCCTGTTTTGACGAGCCATTATTCAAAGCGAATTTTACAATATCAATAAGTTATGATCCAAGTTTTACAGTTGTTCGATCGAATGGTGAAATGTTAAATAATAATCAACCAGAAGTATTACCTAATGGTCGTTTATTAGCACGTTTTGAACAAACTCCACCAATGTCAACATATCTTGTTGCATTTGTTTTAACTGATTTTGAATGTATAACAAATCAAACACTGAATAAAATTAGTGTTAGTGTTTGCGGACGACAAGAAGCCATGCTTAAAGGTGAAGGAGATTTTGCTTTAGATGTTGCAATACATGTTATTACTTATTTTGAACAATCATATAATGTTCCTTATCCATTAAGTAAATGTGATCATTTTGCTATACCAGATTTTTCAGCTGGTAAGTGAAAATAATTTGGAAAAGTGAAAAAACCGTATAAATGGTTTTCTAAATATTGTCTAATAGGTGCTATGGAAAATTGGGGTATGATAACATATCGTGAAACGGCACTACTGTATAATAGTGAAACAGGCAATCTAGCAAATAAACTTCGTGTTGGTGAAGTTGTTTCACATGAAATAGCTCATCAATGGTTTGGAAATATTGTTACACCGAAATGGTGGAATGATATTTGGTAATACAGTATATATATATATATTTATATCTATATTTTTATAATATTTTAAAAGGTTAAATGAAGGATTTGCATCATGGGTAGAAGTTCTTGGTCTTGATAATGCAAGTCCAGAATTTGAAGCACTTGATGTATTTGTTACAAGTAAAATACATTACTTCAATTGGAAAAATACGTTTTTTTCTTTTATTTACATAGCAACTGTACAACGTGCACTCGTTATGGATAGTCTTTATTCAAGTCATCCAATAAGTGTTGAAGTAACACATCCAGATGAAATTAATTCAATATTTGACGCTATTTCCTGTAAATATTTCCCTATGAGTTTTTTTTTCTTAATAGTTTATTCGAACAACTTATAACTAACGATTGTTTTATTCTTTAGACGATAAAGGTGCATCAATTCTTCGTATGATATATTCTGTTTTAAATGAAACAACATTTTTTCGTGGTATCAGTAATTATTTAGACTATTTTAAATATAGCAATGCTGTACAAGATGAATTATGGGCATTTTTAACAAATGTAACTAATCCAATTACACTTGGTGGTTATACAGTAAAACAAATAATGGATACATGGACATTACAAGAAGGATATCCAGTATTAATAGTAACACGTAATTATAATAATAATACAGTAACATTGAAGCAGAAACGTTTTCTTCTTGATCCAAATGGTTTAAATTATTCATCTAGTTATGCAAATCCATTTAAACCATTGGAATTTCAGTGGTATATACCATATGATTATATGATTAATTCAAAATTATCACCATTTTACTGGTTATCACCAAATAAAACCGATCAATTAACAAATATTCAACCAGCAACTGATTGGATTTTATTTAATATAAATGAATTTGGTTTTTATCGTGTTAATTATGATAATCAAAATTGGCGTTTATTAATAAATGTTTTAAAACAAAATAAATCACAAATTCCTGTTGTGTCACGTGCACAATTAATTGATGATTCATTTAGTTTAACACGTTCAGGAGATTTAAAAGTTGATATACCATTAGAATTATCAACATATTTATGTAATGAATTAAATTATATCCCATTTTCATCTTTTTCAACAAACTTACAATATTTAACAGTTATGTTTGGTCAAAATGAAAGTAATGTTGAATATCAAGAATTACAAAAATATATTCGTAAATTAGAAGAACCAGCTTATGGTCATCTTGGATGGTCAATAGCTCCAGATTCATCAGATTATTTATCTCGTCAATTACGTTCTCTTATAATTAGTGATTTATGTTCAAACGGTCATGGAGTATGTATTCAAGAAGCAATAGAACAATATCGAGAATGGCGCAACGATCCAGTAAATAATACAATAAATCCAGATTTTCGTACAACTGTCTACTGTCAAGGTATTAAAAATGGTACAGTTGAAGATTATTTATTCATACAAAATCAATACAAATTAACAAATGATCAAGTTGAAAAAAATCGTTATGGTTTTGCATTAACATGTACACGAAATGTAGCATTACTTGAAAAATTACTTAATGAAACTTTAAGTAATGATTATGTACGTTTACAAGATTCATCCACATTTATTGGTCGTATTAGTGTACAACCAGGTGGACAGCAATTAACTTGGCGTTTTATTAGTAAACGATGGTCGGAATTAGTTTCAAAATTAGGTGGATTAAGTTTTACATTATCAAATATTGTTGAAAATGTACTTCAATATATAAATACACAAAATGAATTAGATATTGTTCTAAAATTTATGAGTGAAACACAAGATTTATCAATAGCTGAACGTGCTTTTTTATCATCCGTGGAAAAAATAAAAGCTAATATCCGGTGGATGGATACAACAGGACGAGATATTCGTACATGGCTTTCTACCAATACGGTGACATGTTAAATGCCCATAGAAAGGAGACATCGTTTTCTTTTTTTTTTGTTCCTTCCTTTTTTTTTTTTTTTTTATACATCAAAATGAAGAAAAGAAATATATATAATTCCGTCCACATAATTATATTATATTTAGATGATGATTTAGGACAAGAATAAATAAATAAAGGCACTTACCATAAGTTGACCAATTGAATTAAGATGAAAACGTCCATTAGCATCATCGATTAAAGTTATTGAATAATTAGATGGATTTGTTTGAATTGTACCAATTATAGTACCATTAGGAGAATTTTCATGTATCTATAACAAGAATGAAGAGAATAGAAAGAAAATATCTAATAGAACATAGATACTTTGAATTGTTTTGGTGATTGTTCAATTTGAATTGATGATAAACGATCAATCAAAATGATAAATAGAAGTAAAGGAAGCATTTTTGATAATAATAATAATAATCAAAAGTACATCGAGCAAGTTCTTCCTTTTTCTTTTCTATAAAAATTGAAGAGAAAGAAGAAAAATGAAAGAATAAGATAGATTGGTCACAGATGCTGTTTTACTATATATATGATAATCAATCGATTGAATCGCTAATTTTCATGACTTGAATAAGATGTGCATCATTCGTTCTAATCAAGGTCTACTGATTAAAAAAACAAATTTAATCAAATTCTCTCTATATTTCAATCGAACATAAGTATATTCAATTGTATGCATATAATAGTAACGATAGCAAATTTTCTTTATTTCTATTATGATTTTCGTAATCATTATCAGTTTAATAAAGAAGTCAGAAAACTAAAGATAATCCACATCATGATAAAATAAAATGTTATTTATTACTGTGATATCTTTAACAAATAAAAAGTCATGAAAGATAATCGGTTATCTCTCATTTGTTTAATTAAAGCAACTGTAAACAATGTACAGAATAAATTCAACAATCTAATAAATAGTTCATAGTGAATTATTTTTATGTTTTCGTTTTTATATTTCTTGATAAGTCCGTTATATTTTTATCTTGATTTCAATAGATACATGTGCGAAATCGAGATCGAAATTCGATAATATATTATATTCTTGATTCTTTGACTTTTCAACTAACATTTTTCGTACATCATAAATCAATTTTTTATCTTCATAGTGGTATCTTGTAATACAGAAAGAATATATCATAATAAATAAGACGATATAGGTACAAAAGAATCAGTAAATCTTAATGAATAAAACATATCACAATTACATACACACCTATATACAACAAAACAATAAATAATTTCATCATTATGAACACTAATATATGTCTTTGCCATCGTCTCATTGCTTTTGTTCACTAGATATTGCTTCATCATCTTTATATAATCGTCCTTTTTTTCGTTTATAAATGTGATTTTGATCAAATTCTTTTATAATACATATGTGCTTGGAATCAATGATGCATATGCCGTCTCTTCTGGTAATCTTTTTTGATTTGAGTCACATAATCATTTTAAATAAGCTAAATATTGATTTAACAACATGATTTTATCTATTTTTTCAGTAATTGTTGCATCTAAGTAATTACACATGTGTGGAACAAAAAACTAAGAGTTTACCAGGACCAAGAACATGCCAGATTCATTGTGATTAAGATCAGCACTATTCAAAAAGAAGTTACCGGAATCAAAAAAATTAGTCTCACACATGTCTTAGTTGAACTAGTGGCTGAGAATCGCAAGTGAAAGCTGAACTGACTATTGCTCATTTTTCATAGGATGTCTAAACGTTATAAGAATTAATTTTGATGATCTCAATCTCAATCGAAATGTGAAAATATCGAACAAACAGAAATCAGGGTTAGTGTAATTGCATTAATCTTTGATCAATTGAATGTATCGAAATTATTTTTATTTGAAAGATTGTAAATATCAATCTTTTCTTTGTTCATTTGATCTTCAGCTAACTCATTAATTCTTATACACTTGAGTTTTATCAGATCCTGAATATTGAAAACTTAGTATATGGTACACTATGTAACAGCTCTATTGCATAGATTCACAATTCTGCAATATTGATGCCATAACACAAGCACTTACAATGTTTTGGAAAATGTTCTCATTCACTATATAACTTATCAACGAATATCATGATTATTTTTACATGGAGTCCACTCATTTCAACTAAATTTATATAATATTTTTCTCAAATTTGTTTGATACATTCAACGTAATGACAATTAGAACATTCTTCGAGAACAATCTCAGCATATGTTTGGAGTATTCTGTCTATGTTTAATTAAATTAAAAAAGCAATAATGAAAGCATAATAATTTATAGTGAAAACTAAATTCGTATTTATTATTGAATACGATTAACACTACAAGTTTGTCTATCTGGTAATTACATTTCCATATATCGATGATAGAAAACTATAACATCGTCATTTGAATTGCCTAAAAGGTGGTACTATTGCAATTTGCACAGGATATCATCTATTATTGATGGTACAATTAGAACCAAAAATGTACTGATATGAGAAGTTCTTAATAAGTGTGGGCGTTCTTATATTTTATAATAGTGGTTGAAATCGAGAGAATTATACATACAAGAAGTAAAAGAATGACAGGGTAATAATTGTAAGTCGTACATAAACCCTTACATCATTCGCATCGCGATCACGGTTGTGACCAAGATTTTTCTCTGTCGAAGATTGTTCTATCTTCATTTATTAAACAGCATTTTGAGCAAGAAAAAAATCTGAACGAAAGATTCAATTCGACTTATTCTTCCAAACCTTGTTATGAGAAGCTTTTTCGAAAAAAACTTTTCTTGTCTTTTGGTCAGAAGCGTGTCCACAATGCAGATCGCTATTTCAAATGTCATCCTTTGAGGGTGGCATTTTTAAATAAAAAGACGATCAAATTCGAAAATATGTCTTTGTTCCTTGCACAAAGTTGGTGGTTCTGTAGAAATTCTGTTTCAATAAAACGGAATACGATCAGAACTCAAGAAAAACAATATGTAAAGAAAATAAATTTTGAAAAGGTTTAATATAAACAATCAAAATCATTTGAGACATGAACTTTGTCAAAAGATATATATAAACTTGACAAAGATGTTTGATTAAAACAAATGAATATACGAAAAAAAAGTTGCTTATGGTATGACACACATATTTACATTAAAATGGACAATGCTACGCTTACAAAAAATATAAATCGACATAAAATGTCATTTTACAATAGCTTATTAATGTTTTGTTGCTTAGAACTTATTTCCTTTCGAATGTAATTTTTTTGATAAATAAAAACAAAAATGACTAGGCGATAATACCATATAATCATTGACGAAAGAAGCTATGAATTATGATAACTATCTGTAGACAGAACATTAAACTATTGTTTTGATCCATTAAAATGTATTTTTAGTCACTTCAGTGAACTGGCAAGTTATAAAACAGAAAATAAAATACAGAAATTCGTTTTATTATGTAATCTGATATTCCATTAAAAATGAAATCTGCCAGTTGGATACCTGTGATTTTTTGGATCTCATGCTGCACGATTGCTTACATTGAAAAATGTAATATTTAATTATTGATATAGGAAAAAATCGACTGTTTGTTTTTAATGAAAAAACAAACACCTATGTAGGATTTTAATCAACCAAAACAGTAGTCTTTATAATTTATATTCTTATCTTTTATATCTACTACAACTGATGTTGACATATTTCGAATGCATAATTGCCGTTTATTTGCAATGTTTTTGAATTTCAATTATTCTTAACGAAAAATTTATGAAAAAGAATAAAAGAAAAAAAGTCGATTCAAAATGTGATAATGTTACTACTGTTTATGGTAATCAGATGAGAAACAGAACATCTCTTAAATTTAATGGTTATCTTAACTTAACAAGTGAATAGATATAAAGTTTATGTGGTTAATAAATTTTAGCTTCAGTTAATAATACTACGTATGTTCAAATGAATACTCACTCTCATGAAATAATAAAAAAAATTAACTCTTATTAATTGGCACTATTGGCAATCTGATCGATCAAAATAAACGGTGATTTTCTCTCTAAATAATGAATAACTGTTGTGTTTTGTGAAAACGTCTAAGACATCGAAGCTTCTACGTATATCGATTTATGAGTAACGTTGCCATAAATCTGGTTTAACATTAGTTTAACAGAGTACTCTAAGAATCAATGTAATATTTCGACCAATAAAACACAATATTCAAAATCTGTTTCTTCTTCGAAGTAAATCGAAAAATCATGGTGAATCGATTTACCTTGGTAAATATGCTTTCTATTACGATTGATTTCGATGACCAATGAAAAATATTTTATGCTTCCTTAAACAATTTTGAAAATATACAAAAAAAGAAACGATATTCATTGCTATTGCTCTCGTTACAATCATTCTCCTGAGCATATTAAATAATTAATCATGAAAAAATTCTGTAGTTCGCATTACTTCTACTTGATTTACATATATTCACAAAGTAAACTGAAAAACATTTACGTAGAGAAAAAAAAATCGAGTTTATCCAATAACATACAGTTTAGTTTAATCATGCATTCGATATTGGACATAGTTTCTGAATTGTTTAAAACGAAAAATAAACCAAATACGGAATCCTACAAATCAAGTTTAAAAACTGGTTTTCCTTTTAATCCTTTGCTGAAACGTAGGAAATGAGTAATAACAGCCATTCTAAATAAATGTAAAATCCACCGCGTATTTCATATCATATTTAAACATGAAAGGCTATCTTATTTATTAAAAGAAGGTAAGTACCAGGAATTTTCATCGCTAATCTACAGGCAAGTCAGTGTTAAAAATGATCCTACAGCATAAATAATAAAACTGAATGGCGTATATCTGTACGATTTTTGTTTATCAATAACTAGTTTTCATCAATAGGAAAAGAAGAAGACTGTCCTTCAATGTCAACAAACTTGAAACATTAATTACAAATATGCGAATAAATTTTCTACAGACATACTCTTCATTTTCAAGC